GTAATGGGAGCTTAAGATCGTTTGGAACACCCTGATACAAAACCTGGATTTTTTGAAGGAAACAAATTGGAGAAGGAAACATAAGAATCAAATTCCAATTTAAGACTCAGACCCTAGCAGGTAGGAAAGACAAACCAATAGCAGGTGATGTACAAACACACACAAAAACACGATTCTTTCCCCAAAGCACTTTCAGTCTAAATTGAGAGAACTTGTTAAAAAAGAAGTGTGATCAAAAAAGAGGAGAGAAGGCAAGAACTTAGGTTGAGGATAATGAAAAAAGGATCATGTGACTGAATTGGTTAGCTATTAAATATTTGATCATCTTCGTGGCTTCAGTTTTGGAGCAACAAGCTAAAATACAGTGTTGTAACTTATTGTGAATAGTTCCTCAGGTGTATAGTATGTTGTTAGGGGGCAGTGTTCAAGCATTTCCCTAGAATCTCCACATTCACATTTGGGTCATTCCTTAGCTTCCACTTGGGTCACACTGTCACAAGTCTTTGCCATCCCAGCTCTCACTCGAGAGTATATCAGTATTTTCATTTGAGATCAGTGCCTGGAGGGACTCATTCTGAAGGTGTCATAAATATAAAGGGAAGGGTAACCACCTTTCTGTATACAGTGCTATAAAATCCCTCCTGGCCAGAGGCAAAATCCTTTCACCTGTAAAGGGTTAAGAAGCTAAGATAACCTGTCTGGCACCTGACCCAAAATGGCTAATGTGGGGACAAGATACTTTCAAATCTGGAGCGGCGGGTGGGGGGGGACAAAGGGTTTTGTCTGTCTGGGTATACCTTTGCTGGGAACAGATCAAGGATGCAAGCCTTCCAACTCCTGTAAAGTTAGTAAGTAATCTAGCTAGAAAATGCGTTAGATTTTCTTTTGGTTTTTTTTTGTTTGTTTGTAAAATAAGCTGTGCTGGAGGGAATGTGTATTCCTGTTTTGTGTCTTTTTGTAACTTAAGGTTTTGCCTAGAGGGATTCTCTATGTTTTGAATCTGATTACCCTGTAAAGTATTTACCATCCTGATTTTACAGAGGTGATTCTTTTACCTTTTCTTTAAATAAAATTATTCTTTTAAGAACCTGATTGATTTTTCATTGTTCTTAAGACCCAAGGGTTTGGGTTTGTGTTCACCTGTACCAATTGGTAAGGAAATTATTATCAAGCCTTCCCCAGGAAAGGGGGTGTAGGGCTTGGGGGGATATTTTGGGGGAAGATGTCTCCAAGTAGGCTCTTTCCCTGTTCTTTGTACAAATCACTTGGTGGTGGCAGCTTACCAGGTTTTTAACCTAAACTGGTTCCCAAGGCAGGAAAGAAATCTGTGCCTTGGGGAAGTTTTAACCTAAGCTGGTAAGAATAAGCTTAGGGGGTCTTTCATGCAGGTCCCCACACCTGTACCCTAGAGTTCAGAGTGGGGAAGGAACAGTGACAGAAGGAACCAGGTTCTCACTGATCATCAGCATTTCCCACCATTTTGCTACTATGTAGCCTTCCACAGTGGTATTTTGGGGTAAAGGATTTTCAGACAGAGCTATTTCTGGACTTCAGCCTCTTGAGTGGTGGCATGTGTCCATGCAGTGGATGTCTTGGATCATGCACCTGTTTTTGTCTCTCCTTCGTACTGAAGGCACCCTACCTCACTAATGGTGGTGCAACCCCTCGAAGACAGTACAGCGACAGTGTGGGAGTCAGTTTCAATGTCCCTGTGAAGATCCTACAGGATTTATTGAGTTCAGTATCAATTATATGTGAATGGCTTAAGTATACTAGGACATGTTATTATGAAGCGGAGTAACATAGGTGAGACTAGTTGCTCGAAGTTTTCCAGGGGTCAGCTCTTCATTTTGTGTTGGCCAGCTTCTGGAGTACACAATTCATGGAGTTCACTTTTTTTCAGCTTCTTTATGTGCTCTTTGAATGTCAGCATTCAGTCTAATGTGAACCCAAGGTACACTTGATGTTCATAGCGATCAAGGATTGTACCGTGCCATGATATCTGAAGTTTTCACATGGCCTGATGGTGTTTCAGGTGAATGGAACACACTTGTGTCTTTCGAGGTATAGCATTCAAGAACCATGTCTGATAATATTTTCCAAGTACACTCAGAGAACCATTTAGAGTGTACTTAATGTCCTCAAATTTTTCTGACTAGGTGGTGATGCAAAGGTGATCTGCATAAATGAATCTTTACATATCAGGGAATTCTGGTCGGTCATTTTTGTAGACATCAAACAGCAAGTGTGATGACACTGAACCTTGAGCCAATCCATTCTGTTGAGTATGCCATTGACTTTTCTGAACATCCATCTCAGCAAAAATACATTGATTCTCAAGCAGGGAGTAGATGACCTGGACCATTTTGCTTCCTCTCAGAATTCTTGCCAATTTCAGTAGAAGTGCACAATGGTTCATGGTGTCATAAGCAGCTGGCAGATGAACAAACACAGACCCTGTAATTTTTCAGATTGAGAAACTATCTTTGATGTTCTGAGATGGGTTGCAACTTAGCCTTAGCATGAATGAGATGGGCTGAAATAGGCTTGGTCATCAGTCAGCTGCTCTTTCTATTGGCTCTATTCTACACATGATCATCTGTGCATATAGCTTCTAGGTTGAGAAAAGGATATTGGGTGATAACTCTTTCCAGAGCTACGGTCTTTATGTGGTCTGAATAGTGCAATCACTTTGGCCTGTCTCCACAGCCTGGGGGTCTGTGTTGTCTCCACGCAAGAATTAAAGAAGTCAAACATCCAATTCTGCACTTTTGTGACAAAATGCAGTAATCATTCATTAAATACACCATGGAGTCCAGTTGCTTTTCCACATTTCAGAGTTTTCATGGCTATTATAAGTGTCTCAGTGTTGAGTTGCTCATTGTGCACTTTGCTGTCTGAGGAGTGGACAACATTCCTGCTTAACTTGTTTCTTTTTCTGTTTTGCTTTGTGGCTGGCTGACCATTTAGGGTGCGTTCGTGTGCAACTTGTCTGTGAGAGACTGTGGCAATGAATTTGGGGTTTTGTCCATCAGGGTTCAGCTTGCAAATGTTAGCCCAGGCTTTAGTTTCCTATTACAGCACAGGTTTGTTGTTTCAACCATCTCCCTCCAATGGTCACACTGATCCTTTCTATTCTCTCATATAAGCATGTTCCTGAGTCCAATGGTTTCTTCACCAAACAGATCCAAGTCAAACAGTTCTGAATATTTTTTAGATTGTTGGCTGGTCTGTTCTGAAAGCCCAGGTACAAATAATTTCCAGTGTGCCATAGGGGTGTACTTTGACGAAGTCTTTCACACCAGGGAGACAAATTCTCCATAACACTCATGTGCCAGAGTAATATCACAGATGGATAAATCCAATTCAGAGGTAAAGCCTTCCCAGTCAGCCTTTCTAAAGTTGAATCACAGCAGATACTTTTCAGAGTAACAGCCGTGTTAGTCTGTATTCGCAAAAAGAAAAGGAGTACTTGTGGCACCCTAGAGACTAACCAATTTATTTGAGCATAAGCTTTCGTGAGCTACAGTTCACTTCATCCACAGTATGCATCCAATGAAGTGAGCTATAGCTCACGAAAGCTTATGCTCAAATAAATTGGTTAGTCTCTAAGGTGCCACAAGTACTCCTTTTCTTTTAGCAGATACTTTGTTTTTCTGGGCTGTACTATAGCCTCTAATAGCACTTATTGGTCTATGCTTTGACCTTGGAATTGCTGCCATGACCTCCTTTTTGAAGTTGCCTGTATTTTGATGAACAACAAAGGGTACATTGGGATTGTACTCTTTGTTCCATCATGTGCTTTGGAAGATATATTTGTCACTGAAGTCATAGAGCAAAATCAAGTTGTTTGGCGCTGCCCACTTCTCAAATCCTTCCTTATTGTTGTCATTGTTGGGGTATCCCAGATGGTGTTGACACTATTGAAGACCCCTATGATGAGGCATGGTTTTTCTGACAGGGGAAAGTTGGCTGGCCAGGCCAACTGTTCAGCTGGTGGCTTGTAAGCAGAAACTACTGCTATTTTATCAAGTTCAACCATGATGAGTTCCATTGTAGCACAGTGTTTCACAGCAGTGTTTTTCACCCGTCTTTTGTCCAGTACAAGTATTGTGCTGCCACAGATGTTGCTTTTTATGTTCACAGAAATATACATGCTAGGGATTTTTGGGGCTGCTGTCTCTCTCTTTCTTGCAAGCATGATATATGCTTTTATACCAGACAGAACATCAGCCTTCTCTGCAAATAATCCTTCCACATTGAAACTGATGACTTTAGGTGCCCTGTATATGACATTTATGTCTATTTCTCCTGTGTTCTCAGTGCATATTGTCAGATTTGGTGTCTGCCATGGTTAGTGGCAATGGGAGATTAACAGGGGTCATGACACAGATAGATAGATCAATCAATCGATCGATCAATTGCTAGATAGATAGATATTTCCTTAACTGTTGCACAACCTAGTCATCATCAGCTGGCTGATTTTTGTAGGTTTCACAGCAGGAGTGAGTCTGCAGGAGGAATTTGAAGGAAGACAAGTAATGTCTTTAATGGATTAGTTCCATGCATAAGGGGCAGTATGGAAGAAAGCATTAGCTTACATAGGAAATATTAACAAACCAAAAAATAAAAATTGTCTACAGTTAAGGCCAAGTCTGATCCCATTGAGGTCAACAGAAAAACTTCCATTGACCTCAGTGGGACAAAGATTTGGCCTTTAATCAGCAAAAAATTCATTAACATTTTAAATTATTAATGCTAAAATAAAAATATAATTTTCAGTTGAAACACCTTACATATTTCACTAATTTGTCATGGTGACAAATGACTGACAACAAATGTGATTAATTAGATTGTTTGTTTGTTTAACTTAACATTTCTCTCCCTGACCCCTTTACATTTTCTGGAGCATTTTTAACAATTACACAATCTTATTTGTCCCCCTGTCAAGAAACATTAGAATTAAAACTGCACAGATGAAGAAAATAAAAGTTCTCTACCTTTTCCAAGACTGAACAAGCAAACGCCACCGGATTAGAAATGTTCCTGATACAGGAGACTGCACCAGCAGCAAGAGTTTTACCATTCATGATGATTGCATCAAGTTCCACATAACCATCAGCATTCAGTACAGCACCATGACCTGCAGGAAACCATTCCATTTGTAAAAGGTCAAACATTCTTAGCCTTAAGCTTTTGAAATGAAGCAGAGAAAACAATTTCAGAGCTATTTACTACCCTGTTCTCTGACAGCTTTTGTCCTGGCTTCCTGTAAGAGATATTTGCTTTTATAGTCACAATCCTTTAAGTAAATATGATGCTTGTGGCTACAAAAAAAGCATTTGATTGTTTTCTTTGAGTCATAAAGCTTTTATCTTGTTTCTAAAATCATAAACCCTGTTAGGCATTGCATTTTTCCAGTGGTATTGACTGTTGTCCCTTCTCAACATTTTAGGTAATCAGATAAGAGTATCGATGATCATAGAGCAACTCTAGTAATGTAGGAAGATATTTATAATACATGAAATATGTTTACTACTGAGGTAAACATGACTATTTTAGAGACAAGGCAAAACTGATTACTATTGTCAAGTTTCAACACTTTGCATTTCTAATATGCTTCTAAGCTATCTGCTTTTGGGGCATTTAAAAGAGTAGATTCAGAGCCCCTTCAGCATTGTTTAAACATAGAACCACACACATAATCATTATCAAACAGGCTATTATGGCTGTGAAGAATTCTATCCAAATAGGAAAAATAAAGATGCAAAATCAGTGTAAAGCAAAATGAACAGTAAAATGGGGCCTTACTAAAATTCCCACAAAGATATTATTAGTAAGTGAAAAAAAGTACTGTATAGTGAGGGAGGAGCTATATTATTATTATTAATTATTATTTTCAATTGGGCCATAACCTTTAACATGTGTAGTGATTTTGGTCAATCTAGGCAGCAGTGGGCATTTTTCCCATGTTGGAAAACCATGGCACAATTGTTAGTCTTTGCTTATGGCAAGCCCAGATTGGAATGTCAAGATTTTTTTTTTATTAGAGAGAAAAGATGAGTGAGTTAATATCTTTTACTGGACCAACTTCTGTTGGTGAGAGAGACAAGCTTTCAAGCTTACACAGAGCTCTTCTCTGGATCTGGGAAACATACTCACTTTCCCATTATGTTCGTGTCTCTCGCCAACAGATGTTGGTCTAACAAAAGATATTACTTCACACACCTTATCTCTCTAGTATCATGGGGCTGACGTGGCTACAACACTACTGCATACACAATTTTTCTTTTTGTCAGAACTGAGGAGTACTGGCAGGATATACTGGCAAAGCTTGTGTGGAAGATATACACAATATGCCATGCACCTACACTATCAGTCACTTGCATAAGCACTCAGATTCACCCCCAAAATTATTACAAACCTGAAACAACTTCTAGACTATCCAGCAACACTTTTCTTTCAAACATTCCCACTAATGTTTCTCATTTCTCTGCTTTGAAAGCATCCCTAAAGCACCATCAGGTTTATGACTCAATAAATCTGTGAAAAGGCTTACAGTGAAATAATGGTCATCTGCTTCTAAATTAAAATAGTATCATAACACTAGGGGCTGGTATCTATAAACGTGTAACTCCTATAAGTAAAACATTAAATGGAGAAACAAATCCTTCCCAGACTTGATGTACATGACATAGCTGGGCAGTTAAGCAAAGGACTTCAATGTAACAACAAGGGGGAAATAAAATATAAAAGTTAAGGAAGAAGTACAAATGAAGCTGTTTATTTGGGTTGTTGATATTCTATTTATGTTCATGATAGCCGAGCACTTTACAGACATTAAAATCAACATCTGTCTAGCAATTAGCACAAACCAGCCACCTATCTTATTGATGGGATACCCTCAGGCTAAGGGCACAAATTAAGAAAAAGCCATTAAGAAAAAGTATCTTGACTTGTACCCTTAAAAATAATAATCACCAAACTTGGACTTGGGCAGAATGCATGAGGGAGGAAATTCCAGGACTCAAGTGGTTCTAGTGAGAATGCCTTAATCCCTGAACCAAGAGGTCCAACTCTATGGACAAGAGAGCATGAACTTCAGGATGGAATGCAACTCCCACAGTAGGAAGAAGTAAACTCTGAAGCCCTAATTCAGAAAACCACACTCATGCTAAGAAGTGCTCAAGAAACCAAATGGCACCACATTTTGTGGGTGAAAATTGGGAAAGGAGCTTAAAATAGCCAGGTCCCCAGTGCTCTATAAACTTCTGAATGCTAACCCACCTTGAATAGAGCTAGTCAAGAATTTTCCAGCAGAACAGTTTCGTGTTGGTAAATGCTGATTTGCTGAATCAAAACTTTCTGTCAATTAGATTCTGTATAAACTTTTGATGGAAACCCAGCAAGCAGGCTAACCTGTTTCCTGCCAGTCCTCCCAGCTGCCCAGCTCCTCGCCTGGCAGGCTTCTGGACTATTAGGTTCTCCAGACTACCTGGGAAGCTGGCTCCCAGGCTGGACAGCTCCCCAGCTGTCTGCCTGCAGGTGGGTGGGTTGCCCAGCCCAGTCAGTGGTGGCTACTTACCTGGCCAGTACCTAAATGGCCAGAATCCCTGGGTTGCAGGCTTCCTAGCTGTCCTGCTTCCTGGGTAGTACTAACTCAGCTAGCCAACTCCTTGGGCTTCCTGGCTTCCCAGGCAGCAGGCTCCCAGGGCTGTCCACTTAACAGGCGGGCAAGTTGGCAGATGGTGAGCTGACCAGGAAGCCAAGGAGCTGGCTGCTGAAACTGACTTTTTAAAACATGACATTCCAAATGCAAAATTTTTCACAGGATGAAAACTCTGGTCCCCCCACACTTCTCACGATGTGCTGCAGCTGGATACAGGTTGTTGTCTTGTGTCCCAAACTACGGTCTACACACAGTGGCCAGGATTCACAACCGTCTCCAAAAGCCATGTCAGAGTTTTGACTGTTCCAGGTATTCTGACCTCTTCCACATTTTTTTTACCATCTTCACTTCGGTAAATTTACTTTTATTGGTGAACTTTGTATTGAATAATGATCACATGGATTGGAAGAAACTGGGGACAGGATGGTGGTCATGATTAAAAAATACAGGGCCAGCTCTCCAGTCAACTCAGGCCACTTTGGAAATGCTTACACTGCACTGTAAACCAACATCTGTGGGACCAGGGCTGTGGTTTCCAAGCCCACACCTGAGTATCCATGCTGCATTGAAAATCTGGACTTACAATTGCTGGATCCAGGTCTCACAGCTGTGCCAAAGCATTCATATTGCACTACACTCACTTTCTGACTCAGGTCTGCAGCTATATCTGTGTCCACACTGCAAAATTATAAGACTTGCATTCAAGCCACAGAGGGACTTGGGGCTCTGACCTATCCCCCAAGCAGGGTCCTAAGACCAAGGTCCTGCGTGATGACTGAAATCATAGTAATTTGTGTGTGGCTGGAAGGGGGATTTGAGACCAAACCCTAGTAAGAGCCTGGGCTTACTGCACAGTGTAGATTTACCCTTTGAGTCACAGAGCCAGTGCAAAGTGGACATACTCTGCCTGAAGGTTACCAGCAATTAATTCCCTCTGCATAGATGAACTCTCCACTGGTATAAAGCTTGAGGAGGTGGAACAGCTGCCTCCTGTATCAGCCCTTCAGCTGCTGTAAATATTGCCAAGGCTATGGGGTGCAGGTTTGTGGAGATACACTCTTCCCGCTCCCAAGATCTGAGAAGAGCTCTGCACTTAGGATGAATTCAGTCTCATGAAAAGCTAGGGAAAAGAGTTGGTGGAGAACCATAAAGAGAAGGAGATGAACCAGAGTTGAAAGGTTGCTAGAAAAAGGAACTCAGTAACTTCATTGTGTTTTCATTTGTGGGATTTTTTTAACCTTTTCCTTGTCCCTCCAATGGTGACTGGGAATGAACTTTTCTTCTGATTACCCAGAATATCCAGAAATTGTTATAGTTGCAAATGGAAACCTTTACAGTGGGGACCAAATTATTGCATCAAAAGGTGCAAGAGGGTTGGAAGAAATGTATTAATAGGTTTTGCAGTTTACTGATAGAAAGGGAATTTAGCAAATTTATTGTACAGAGACTGATGTTGCACAGCATGTGCTTTAGATGTGTGTGTATTTTTATCACGTTTGCAGATGTCTCAAGAGTAGTAAGATTCTCCACTAGTTTTGCTTATCTCCAGAGTTCCCTCTTTGTATGGTCTTGGAAAAAAAATGATGTTCTTGTATATCTAAAAACCTCTTCTAAACCAACTTATTTGATTGCTTCCTCCCTTTCCAACATACTGAAATTGCTCTTCTATGCATAGTTAATTACCTTTTCGGCTTTTCTAACTAGGACTCCTCCTTATCATCCATCCTGACCTTTGGGTGACCTTACTTTTACAACTGTTAAGCATGACATTCCCAGTGTGGGATCGTTTGCTGAACTTCTCAGGCATTTAGCTGTTCTGCTTTCATTTCTACCCCTCCAACTACTATTGGTTGTTGTTGTAGTTGTTGTTGTTTGTGATTGTTATTAAACACTCCTCTTTCATGTGACATTTCCACGTAGTGCCTTCAAGTGCTTATTCTTTGACCAATTCTTCTTCTCTACCTCTATGATTGTCTGTAATTGTGAATAATTTGAAGAACTGTATTGTCAAGCTTAAACTGAACAAAAGTACTGTCAATGTTAGGCCTCAAACTTCTGGAAGCTCTAAAAAGCAAGCTTTGCAAAAGGAAGTTAAGACTTGTGGTCAGGATGTGCTACAACCAGGCAACTTTTTGCTGACTCCTATGAAATAAGCAAACCCACATTAACCACACTTAAAACTCAATTGGCTACAAAAGATAAATAGGCCTGAATTATATGATTAACTGACAATTGGCTATAAGGAGATAAGTATGCATCAATTATACAATTGGAGCAACCACACTGACCATATTAGCAATGTGGTCCACCCTGATTGGTTGATCTGTTTTGAAACACGACCAACAGATCAGATAAATCGAAGGCACAAAGCCAGTGTGTGTCTTGGGCATACTACGTACCTGGCCCACACCCCCTGAACCGAAGGGACGTGCACTTCTCGACAGTCTGTACCTGGCCAGTGCGAAAAATGGCCG